AACATGCATAACAGAGATTTGTCAACACTCTCAGGTGTGTTCCCACAGGCCGTGAAAACTGCCGTCGTCAACCCCCCTCTAAAAGGGATAGTTCACCTGAAAATTAAAATTCCACAAAACTAAAACACTTTTGGAGTCTCAGGGGTAAACAGTGTTGCAGCCACAATTGCAGTAACTGGGGGAGGAAGTCTTCAAACGTATAAAAAAAACCTTTAGTGTCATCCAAGTGTCTGTAAGCCCCTACATTCAAATTGGACTTGAAACTGTCATTTACACCATGTTTTTAGCCTTAATGCCCGCTGTTATCCTCCTCCTATAGTTTTGAATGATTGAGTTGTTTGAGCTACTGTTTAAGAGCTAACTAAACATGGAGTGCAGCTCACACTCTTAGCACTACCATCATTATAAGCAGAATTACATTAATATTGGCTGCGATATCACATATAATGATTTTATTAATCCACAGTCATGTACCAGTAGCTCTGTGAGGCTGCATCTAAAATAATGCTCCACTCATTTAGATTTTCTGCCTTTGTCGTAATCAAAGACACTCCCTTGTCCGAACCTAAAGACCACATTGCCCACAGTGCAGCTCAAATGTCAACATTTAGGTTAGAGATACTCCTGTCTGGAACAAAGAGATGGGATTAAATGGTATAATAGGGACATTTAATTATTTTTTATTTTATGTGAGCTCATAACTAAGTCAGTTGTGACAATAGCAACTACACAAAAAGACAAAAGTTTGTAATTTGAGTACACATGGTTTTATCTACCTTATGATTCCAAAAATCTCTGTCTGTCTGTATTTAGAATGATCCTTTTATCAACTTCACTCCTGGCATGTGTATTGTTAAGGGCCGTAGGAGGTGCAGTGTTGATTTGGACACTTGAGACATTTGATATTAATAAACTTTGAGCAAATAGGCGACCGGTGATCTGTAGCAGCGTACTCATTAACCTAATTGTCCATTAAGACAACAGCACTTTCACAACATCAGGCGCATTCATAACTTCAGCTGATTCTCCACTTACAGGTTCTGTGTACTTAGCTGAGCTTCACTGAACTTTGAAAAAACTGGTGAACAGCTCTTTGTGCAGCAGCGGTGGTGCAGCTTTAGCGTTCCATGGATTGAGTTCAGCAGCAGGTATTTACGTGTAGCGGCTCAATTACTGCAGGTTTTACATTTTCAGAAAGAAAGTTGCAACCATCATTTCCCAGGTCAAGCAAAAAGCCCTTTCTACAGAACTGCACCAGTCCTCTCTAATTCTTGTTTTTCCACAATGTCCCTTGTGTGATTTCATGTCATTTGAGCACCGTAGATACCACTGCTCCAAAAGTATCTAAATGTTTTTGTCTATTTTATTCATGGCAATTATTTTCCCTGAGGAGAGGCCCCTTCTTGCTACATATTTAAAGTACAATGCATCATGGGAAGACAGAGTGTTTCACCAGACCTCTTAGGGACCACTGAGTTGATATGATGCCAGGAAGAGTGCTCCACTGGTGTGTGGGAACCTACACTGCGATTTTCTTTTTTTTCTGGCCACAGCTCTCTGTGACATCGTGGGAGGTGAGAGTTAAATCTGAAGACATTCTGTAGAAGGGAAGTCCTCAGTGAGACATTTGTGAGACGAGACCATAGAATGTATATAAAGATGGACGACATGGCAGCTCCCTAAAAGTCAGTGTATCTGCAGTGTAGAACTTAAACCCCACCTCCTCCATGTTAGTTGGTTGCTTTTTATGAAATACAAATATTTCTTCACTCAAATGCCACAGAGTTTATTATAATCATATAGTATTTGCATTGCATATAGACAATCAAAAGCCTGGATATATTTCAAAATACCATCCAGATATGAAGTACTTCAGAGGGCCTCAGTTGTTTCTCACTCATGTCAAGCACAAGAACATATATAATTCTGGGAAATCCCTTGATTTTACTTCTGAAATAAAACAGAAAATATTACAGAATAGTAAGCACACAACAGGACAACTTTGATATAACGCATAAAGCACTGACAATCTGTACAGGCACTGTCAACAGAGTGAATAAATAAATAAAAACTGTCAAATGAAATGCAGATCCCACAAGGATAAGCCTACAGGAGCATTTATTGCATGTCCTCTGTGTGTTTGTGTCCTCGCACAGCCTCAATGACTTGGATGTCATTAAGAGTTATGTCATGGTCAGCCATACAAGCTGAACAAATGTACAGAAAGGTTTCTTTGCAGGATTAAAGGTTAATTAAAATATAATCCTTTTATTCATATGCACCCACATCATAAAGGGAATAGGATGGTAACAAATTTGCCTGTAATTAAATATTTGCCTTTGTATTCATATGACTATTGATATATACTATCTATTGGTATTTACTAAATAGTTAAATTGTCATTTGTGGGCTGTAATATAAAGTATTAAAAAAAACATGCATTCTGCTGAAAAAGTCATTTTGTGTTCACGTGCTCTTCAAATCATGTTATGTTGTCTTCCCTTTCTGTATCATTTGATGAGAAATTCTATTTAGCAAAATGTGGCTGACATAATCACACCAACAAAAAGCTGTGTCCTTCACTTTAAACCCTCCTGGATTAGGTTTCCATGCTCTTCCTTTTTTTTTGAAACATGAAATTCCTCAGAACATCACCATCTCGGCACTATGGTGAGCACAGTCATCGACTGCACCTCTTGTGCCCTGATCCTCACAGGCAGGGAGGATGAGAGTCTGCTGATTACACTGATTAGTTCCACCTCTAAGGACGAAGTCACTCACATCAGCTGCTGCAGGGAGCTGCCGCAGACTCGCCCCCCTTCAACAGTGCATGGTTGCGTAACCTCAGGCTGAGAATCCACGCTTCGGTTACTTTGCGATGTAAGCGAATGCAAGATGCAACACATTCCTTCAAGTCCACAATGTCAGAGATACATATAAAATACTGTAGGTCCAAGTTAAAGGTCTCATTGTTTCATTCGAATGGTTTGTTTGAGTATACTGAGGTAAAGCTGCTTTGTGGAGGCTTGGCACATCACATAGGTTAGAAACATGGCTACCAGACACGGAGCAAGCATGGAGCTTTATATGTCCAACAGCCTGGCTCAGTCATACAGCACAGCACAATGTGAAAACTGTTCAAATAGCATCAAAAACTAAGATAGACACAGGCAAATGTACATATCAGCAACAGTGTCCATTACATTTGCTGTTTAAAGTACAGACTTTATTCATACTGGGTGTAATTAATGGCAATGATATTTTATCTGTATCTACAGTGACAACCTTTCTCTGGCGGTGTTGGGCAGTTTTCCAAACACATGTATTCAATTAGGCCTACCAGTAACACATCCCTTTTGTTACCCACACATTGCGTCTTCTGCATTTAAATTATCCATAAATTGAAAAAAGTATTGTTATCAGTTATTGCTGATGCTGTCTGTAGCTCCAAACACTGAATATGAACGTATTTGCGGTGTATGACCTGCATTCACCAATTTTCTTCTATTTAAAATTTTCTTCCAGGTACAAACACTATTGTTGAGTGGTCCAGGCCTGTTGTAGGAGTCACGTTAAATTGCTTTGCTATTATTGAAATCAAGTTCTTTAGTAATTTCAATTGTAAATAAATAAATAATATGTTGATATTAATTAGAATAACAATATAATTCTACATGTATTCATGTACTTGCTACATGTTGTTTCATAATGGGCAGGGGGACTTTCACGGAGGTGGCTGGCTTAGCTTGCCAGCTTTCAGATAATTTACCTAAATTTCACTATTTTCTCCATGTGATTAATGTCATGCTTGAATTCCCTGGTTTGTGAAAACCTGGTTAACCGGCAGAACAAACAAGAGCGTTCATACAACAAGTGTCATGTGTGCATTCATACCATGGAGGAGAGCACACATGTTGGGAAGGCCAGGTGGATGTGCCTTGACACAGCTGCTCTGTCTGCCAGAGAAGGCATGTCAAATTATTTTAGCATGCTGCATATTGCGATGACAAAGGTGTAATGATCAAGCATCAGCAGAAAATAGGCCAGTGCAGCATCACCTTTGATGGCAAATTGCCTGATGGACACACATTCACATATATAGACTGACTCTTTTCAAAATTCAATTTCCTGAAAATAGGAGAACACAGCTTAACATCCGTGGTCATTTCACAATGTTGTGTTCCAAACAGGGGACAGGGGCATGTTTTAGAGAGCACAGGAACCTGGTGGAAATGTTTTGCAGAGAAGACATCATCTGTGGTTTCTGTTTGCCAAAGAAAACTGCTGAGGAAATGAATGATGATTGTTAAAGCAACTCAGCTATGCAACAAGTCTGCACTGGGGTTTATATTCTACATGTATTGTAATCTTCTCTGTAAAAAGCCCTTTACCTTTTTTTTTTCCAGAACAAACAGGGTAAAAAGAAGCTTCATGGTTTTACAAGGTAGTCATGTTATTGTCTTTATTTATCCCCGAATTTATTAATGTATTTCTATTAAGTCAACAGCTAGACAGCTTTGTTAATAGTATAAAGTCTATTCAAGTTACGCAGCAAATTGCAATGAATAACTGATTTACGAGCGACTGATACAAACAGTGGAAAGATAAAACAGCCAACTGGCTAGCAGTGCGTTTTCCTTCCTGTTTGTCTTGGACGTTACAGCAGAGACGATTTAACGGTGGCCAAAATGAAACCTCCTCTTAACTAGAATCAAATTTAAGGATTTCCCTGGGTTTGTTGGAAACGTTTTATATAATGTATGTGTCAACAAAAATATAACATTCATTTTTATACGTTTTAATGTTTTATCATTAAGCTTTGAGCTAACCAAGCTGACAGCTCAGATGCGTTTTTCCACTGAATGCACAGAGTGGAATATGTATATACAAATATGAACCATCATCTGAATCCTGAAAAGACTGGTAATCAGCCCACAGGGTGTTACTGGGATTAATAAATGCTGTAATTACTTATCCCTTATTGATTCCTGAAGAGTGATCATAGTTCTGTAAAATGCCCAGCACTGTTCTTTAGACAGAAACGTCACCTTCAATTTTTGAAATTTCTAATACTTTCAAAATCAGAGAGGGCCATTTTGATGAATTGGCTTGTAAATATACTATACAGAGTCATGCACATATTGGCTGCAATCATTATGATTTTCTCTTCAGATTGTCTCTCCAGATTTTCCTGAGTTTCAGAGGCCGCAGGTTTTAATGCCGTGAAGAGCTGCAGGAAACAGACTGATCAGTAGTCATGTTGTGTGTGGCTTTATCTCTTCAGGTATAAAGAACAGCACTTATGTGGAACAGTACAGGTGTACCACTCTACCACCAATCTAAGCAACTACACCTACCCTCATTGAACAAACATCCACACAACCTCACGTCACTTTTACTTTCCACTGATTCCCAGTGTGACCGCTGCCTTACGTTCGTTTTCTTATCACCTTCCACACCTTGTCAGTCAAACGTTGGTGCAGTTAGTCGAGGGCGGCGTTTCCGCTTTGCTGCGGATCTCCTTAATGTCGTTGAGCGGGGAGTCACTGGTACCGATCTGGCATTTGAACACCTGCTTGTAAGCCTTCCTGAAGTTCTCCGACAGGAAGGCGTAGATGACCGGGTTGACAGATGAGTTGCTGTACGCCAGGCAATGGGCGGCCACCCGTAACACAAAGGAGGCCTGGTTCAGCGGGAAGGTCCCAAACACCACCCAGAGGTGGACGACGTGATGAGGGAGCCAAGAGAGGCAGAACACCACCACCACCACCAACACCGTCTGAGCCGTCTGGGAATCAATGAGTAAGCGAAAGAAAGGAGAGAGATTTAGTCCATGCCTTCAAGAATACAGGTGTTAGTGTTTGTCAAAATCAAATAATAGAGTAAGGTTTTGGGTGGTTGGTGCCTTAGAGCACTTTTCTTTGTTCCTATTCTGTTGTGGCTGTTAGATTATGATAGATTTGTATTTTTATTCCATCTCGTGTGATATATAGCAATCCTAATAATGTACCTTTTTACAACTGAATCAAATGAATCACTTCATTTTTGTTACTGTCACTTAATTTTCAGGATGAATTAATTCAGAGTTCACTGAATGGACAGAGTGAGAAGTTAAGGTTTAAGCTCACTTGCGAGTTAATAATGTGATATTCATTGTATCATCTACACTATGTTACGTTGGTATTTTCCAGGGTCGCACAAATGTTGCAAGAGTCGATTTATTTAGGGTGAAACATTTATCACGTTATCATATAACTATGGGTTTATTTACACATGTCCATCTGCTGCCTGAGTGTTTTTGTTTTCATCCAACTGAAAACAGCTATGTGTACATTTGGAAACATAACTTCCTTAAAAAATAAAGACAATGAGCTAAAAGAGACAAAACTGCTTCCCCCTAAAATGACCTGCACACTTCGCAAATACTTCTATGCAGGTTTGTTAATAAGAGCACTTTACTTTATTTCAATTGTTAATCAAAAAATATTGACTAGTGCAGCTTTAAAACAATGACATCAATATTAGTGGTTCTGCACTTCCTGCTTGAACCCACAGAATCTGAACTGTAGACCAATTAGCATGCAATTTCGTAATTGTTGAGGGTCTCATAAAATCTGTACCACTGAACCACTGAAACCACTGAAATCATATTAGCTAATCGCCTTGTTTCTCAGCAGATCCAGCTAAAATCCTGTAAATGTAAAGATGACCATCATATCAGAGAAAAGTTCATGCCTCTTATTTATTTGCTCGTGGAGCACTTCAGGCCCACAAGGACTCTGTATTGAAGCTTCTTGTTGGGCCTTGAGGATTTACAGTATGTGTTTATGGCAGGAATGCAAACAGAGGACATCGAGCTGCCTGAACAAGGACAATGACAGGACTCTGAGGTATCAGTGCGCGTGTCTGGAATAATATCATTAAATTCTGAGGCTATAGACATGAATAAGGTCACATGTTAGCACACCTAAGCACACGCATGATAATGACTTCACAAATATTCAATCTAATTAGCCACTGATGCCACTTTGTCTACAAGTTTATCAGAGGACAATGTCTGGTGAGTTGCACCTAACTACGTAGAAGTTATTACCTTCAGCTCACTATATAGTTAAACAGAATCATACTTATTCACACATTCCCTCTCTTAGGTTTCAAACACTAAGTTAATGTCCAGATATATTTTAGGAAAATGTGAGAACTCCATGTGACAATTATGGCAAACCAATTTCAGGTAGTGCCTAAATGGAAAGTGGTGGATGTTACTCTGTTAGTTTGGCCACGACTACATCAGTTAAGCCAAAGGCTACAGCTCCAAAGTGTGGTCATTAAAAAGAAAAAAAAAACCTAATTATATGCTGCCTGATCTGCTGGGCAGCTCCACTGCCTTTGTTGATAGTAAGAGGATTAATTCCAGAACCAATTAGCTCCCATCATTGAAAATAAATATGGAGAAGCCTTTAGACATTAACTTGGTTTGCTGCTTTTTTCTGTACTTTTGCTTTAGGAAGGTTATAAATGATAAATAAAACATTCCAACACATGTCAGTGTTTAGCCATTTGAGTGCAAAGTGATATGTAGAAGACAGACAGAATGAAAAACACAGCATAAGACAAGTTTAATGCATTCATATGCAAAAACTAGAATGGCCTACCTCAACAGTCAGCTTATAAAACCATTTTCAAATTCATTAGATCCAGATTTTTGTACGGATCTGCTTCAAATTACACACACTAATAAATATCAGTCCCCTTAACATCTCTGATATTTTTCAGTAAGATTCATTATTTATTCCATGAAGAAAATGTTGAAAAATAAAGTGGATAAATTCCTGAATAGGCCCCCTGATCTGTATCTCCACCAAAATGTAATGACATGTTCTCTGACTCATACTGAATCCATCTACCAAGTCTCTTGGTAATCTGTCCACTATAGTTTGTGCAATGCTGCTAACAAAAAAACAAACAAACAACAAAAGCAAGGTGAAAACACTCTTTTATTCTCTTTTAAAGCTGCACTTATCTTACTTTCTTGGCGGGTTGTGTAGCTAAGCAGTTGTTTGCTAAGAGGTTTGGATTTGTTAAAAAGAAAAAAGAAAGAAAAAAAACAATTAACTGAGATTTAAATGGCATGAGCACCAAGGAAAGTCAATATTGCAAAAGGACTAGCAGGTTACTGGGGTTGTATTGGATTTTTGTAATGAGATTTTTTTTCAGAAACCCTTTTTGACTCAGATAAAAAAAAAATAACTGTAAGTACAGTTGTAACCTAAAACTTTCCACTGATGAGAAGAGCATTAATGATAGCATGTCGGTGCAAATGTTTATACAGTGTGATGTAACGATTTATTGTCCAGTGCAGTATTGATCTTTTATACAATAAATTTGTAATGAAACTACACATCATCAATCAAATCAGAAATAAACATCACCAAGTGGGCCGTGTCCAATCTGAAATGAAAGGTCAATATTGACCTGAAATATCAGCCCAACACTATGCACAAGAGTGCTCACACACACACACACACACACACATACACACACACACACACAAACACAAACATGCACAGGAACTAGGCACAGGTTTCCCACAGTTTTGTATGTAGCTGTATGTTGACAGCCTTGCTTTGTTTGGCTAGCCTCCATAAAACATTAATATTCTCACCTCAACCCCCTGACAGCCATAAGTCAGGCTTATGAAAACAGCAGCATCACCACAGGAAGGAATAGCTGATGAAATAATAATAAATAGACAAATCAAATCTGTGCCTTTCAACCCCGTCCCTGCAGCCACACTGTCTCTTCTTGCAACCCTCACTGGTCACACACAGCTGGATGGTCTCGAAACAGTTCTATCTTATGTAACGTTTTAACAGTGTTGCAGTGTGTTAATGTGAATACAATGTACTGAAGAAATGAAATTCAAAGCTGGTCTTGTCTCCTTAGTAGATTAAAAAAAACATTTGAAATTGTTTTTTAACACGTATCACGATGCCTTTCCATCCACTGCTCTGGTGTGAATATTGTGGGTTTAGTTCATCGTGATCAACAGTTGGTGGCAGTAATTCTCCAGTCAAGTGCAATGAGATGTATAAATGCAGCAATTTAACCTTGAAATGTGGAAGATTATGTGGGAATCATGATTGAAACATGGATTTATGTTTGTCTCATGTATCACTTCAAGAACCATCATGATTTAATTGGAATTATTATTTAGTATTTATTAAGAAAACACGACCATCCAGCTTGTCGGCAGTTAAACCATTGTATGGCTGTGTTTTGTATTTATGAAGCTAAAAGCAGAGGAAATGTTACAAACTGAATATAGCGAAAATACATTTGATTTAAAGAATGAACTATTCATTCAGTTAGGACAGTGACATGAAATTGTTTAACAATTGTTAATAAATATAATGCCACACTGTCCACAGTTTGGTTTGTGATGCTTTAACTGTCTAATTTCAATCCAAACACGACTTGGCCAAATATTCTTTTTTACAATTACCCACCGCTGTTACTCTTTTCTGAATGCCTTACTAATATAATTGAGAGAAAACTCATCAGGCTACAGTGCTAATTACCGGCTTCTTAACCTCTGGTTCAGCACTGAGAATCCATTAAAAACATAATTGTTTGCCAAGAAAAATGAAATCCCTCGACTCTGGTTTTCCCAAGAACATGAAGCAAGAGCCACAGAGAATGAGGCCTATAAACAATAATTCAGATTATCTTTATCTCAACACGGCAAAAAACCAGAGGGGTTAAGAGATTTATTAGAAACAGATTTGTCACATTATTGCACAAAGACGAGAATGCTTAAAGAAGATTTACTATTTTCTTTGGACATTTGGCCAGTGTCTCATTTGACTCTTGAAGGCTGTGTGATTCTCACTCTGTGTGTAAGCGGGTGATTTAAAAAAGAAACCTGCCAACATATATTTCACAACAGCAGTGTGGGAGTAACCTTGCTCTTCCCAGCTGTCTGTCACATTATGTTTCACTGGCCTGATGTTTTGCTGCAGCACAGCAGTACAGCTGCACGTTACCATACAAACTATTGATGAAAAACGTTTTGAACAAATTCCGTCCACTTTCCACCAAGCACATTTTTTAGCCAACTGTGAACTGTTTATTTGTCTCATTTGTTAGCAAACATGACCTCAACTGATGCTGAAAGCTGGTAAATTCCTTATTGTCCTTTGAGATCTTGTATTTATGGTTTAAAGTAATACTTTTGGAAGACATGCTTATTCCCTTTCTTGCACATAGATAAAGACAAGAACTTGTCCTGCACTTATGCTGCATTTACATATATATATATTATGCTCAGGATGATATATATATATATATATGTATATATATCATCCTGAGCATAATAACTGCAAACTATTTAGATTAAATATTCACCTCAAGTCCTTCCCGCTGCTTTTAACCATGCACAGAACTCTGGATAATCTGCTGAAAGCATCTGGAGGGGCGATATGCGAGAATGCAAATGCCAGAGTCAGTTACTGCGGAAATTCTCTGGACCTTTTCCTGCCACTTCCTAGTAAAAACTCAGGATAATATCTATGTGAGCTCATAGGAGAATAGATCAGGAGATTATCCTGAGGACTCACAGCAAGTGAGAGGGTGTAAAAAAAAATACTAAAAGAAAACAAATATCTCAATGAATGAGATGTATGATAATGTAGAAGAGACCAAGAAAGATTTTAACTTGCAAAGATAACGAGATTTGATAGGCTTTGTTGATCAGGGCCAACTTGTGCGGTAAACAAAAACATGTGGTCTCTGCTGCCAAAGTCAAACTCAGCGTAGACCCCCACTGTGTGGATATTCTCTGGAGTCCCCTTCTGAAAACAACTTTGGACTTTGAGGATTTCAGACAGCTACATTATCCCCCACTTGGTGAAAAGAACAAACCTCTGGCAAAATGGCTGCAAGGTCTCAATAGCTGTCAAATGTTAACACTAATGTACGTATTGTATTTGAATAAATATTTTTTTAAATACATAGCAAATGTATATTGGCCTGAATACAAAACTTTTTTCTGGAAATTACGATTGAGAAACTAGGGTTGTCTTGTTGTCAGCTTCAGGTATTATTTTTGAATCTAGAGAGTGTCTTCTATTGTGACTGCTGAATTATGGGTTGTTTGTTGCTTTAATGTCACTGTGCTAACAAGTGTTTTCAAGCTTGTTTATACAAGCTAATCAAATGTTTGATTAATCTGCAGGAGTGTCTCAAAGCTTGTGTGATGCTGCCATGTGTCTGCAGCAAGGTGAATTTTGTTAGTAAAGAAGGAGCTTTCGATCCACCAGTTTGTTTCTATTACGACTTTCATGTAGACTATGGTAGCGACAAAAAGAATATCATGGATACAAGCAGCCAAAATAAACTTTGTTCATAAGGAGGCAGAAGTCAGCCTTATAGATGGGGTCAGGAGTTCAGACATCCAGAGTGGATGGAGCCAGCTGAGGTGGTTGGGGCATTTGTTTGAGATGCCTCCAGAGGGACTTTATATCCCATCTGGCCAGGGAACAACGCTGGATCCCCCAGCAGGACATTCGGAATAGTCATTGAATGCTTAGCCTTCTGCCGCCATGACCTGAACTCGCATAAGTAGAAGAAAATAGATGGCTAGATGAATAAAACTGTTCACAGCATCTCTGGAGAGCCTTGCTGCCGAAATGAACCACGGAGAAACTCCACCGAGCAGCAAAAATGCAGTCGTCAAGGATGACGAGATCAAAAAAAAAGATTCTGTCTGTGAAATCATTTTGAGCACTTCCATGGGAAAAGAGAAAATTGCTTTAGCACAGATGACTCTCCTCTCCTTGGATTAATATAACCTCAGGGAAACCTTCCCAACAGACGGATGAGTGTCAAAGTGTTTCCTAGCCTCAAAAATGCATTTCTCAAAGCACATTTTGGAAAAGGGGGACTGTCTCATAATTGTGGTCACCTTACATTTGGGACAAATGGGAGAGAATTTAGGCAATTGAAATGGTGCATGTGATTGAGTCAGAATAATGGTGTATGATTCTGTTCTTCCCATTCTGAAGATATGGTGTATAGTAGCCATAACCCCCAGTTAAAGCTGTTATTGTACAACACTAGTGCAGTGCCTGTCCTAATGCACCAGCAACACAATTGTATTGTGCTGGTTTGAGCACAGGACACACACGCTGCAACGGCCAGGTTATGTGTACAGCCTCTCAGTTAGACTGAGGAGAAGGCAGCCGGTGAGTTGAGTCATTGTGAGACCTCCAGTGTAACAGGTGAAAAATGTGTCTCCTTTCAAAAATGTGTTTTGCCCGGCAGCATCTCTGTATTGATTTCACACCATGCAAGGAAGTGAAAATATCTTTGGGGGGTAGTTTTCATATAATGCTGAATTTGTGAACTTTATAAGCGCTTTGTGCTAAGCTAAGCTAATATGATCTATTCGCTTCTCATTGCGCATTCATATTCCATGTCCTATTGATTCCATAAGTACCAGTTGGCTGCATTGATCTTTTATTTTTTATCATGAAACACTTTTCTTCACACGCACAGGACAAACTAGATATGCTGCCAGGGAAACACCAATTTGGTCACAACAGCACGCCTGTGGGTTCATTCAAAAAAGGAAATGTGACTGTCGATTGAACTGATTGCACCAGTGTGTATGTTTCTCAGAGTTGAAGTAGCTGATTCCTTAGTCGCCAGCAAACTGATTCATCTGCTGTGACACTAGTTAAACAGTTGCTGCCCTACGGAAATGTATAATATATCTTACAGTCAGAGTTTAATGAACTGTTTGCTGACAGTTTCTCACAGAGCTGTCAGTGTCATGCCCCCTCTGTGTGTTCTCCATCATTGTTCTGCACAGTAAATCATCAGAGTATGTGAGAGCCATGAGATCTCCTTCCGCCGTTTGTTTCGAGCCCCGTGCCTTAAAGCATCGGACGTAGGTGTTCATCAAAGCACACTTTTATTCTCATCCACCCTTCCCCTCCAGTCTGACCCATTTAGTCCTGGCTTCATAGCACAAGGCAATTATCTGGGCTGTGGCTGCTAAACTGACCAGCCGTGAAGAACAATGGATAGACTGACTGACATATCGGCAATTAAGCGGGCAACTGCAGATAACTGGCTCTCTGCAGCGCTAAATTACCTCCTCCAAGAATAATGAAGACCAGATCACCTGTGAGAGTGTGTTCAGTTATATTAAGTATGACTAGATTTTGAAGATAGTCTTTTTCCCAGATGCCTGTTGAGGATATTGGTACCATGAATGGTACTGAAAGCCTGGTTATCATCACGGTTAGAGTGATATATACTGTATCTTTCTAAAGGTCAGGAAAACCGACCTCTGCTGTGAATCGACCATATGTCATATGTTTTGTGAGCCATGAAATCCACTGATCTGGAGAGATAAGGGGTAAATCAGTAAAGGCTTGAGTGCCCTTTTTTAAAGATTTACATAAAGATACACACCATTCACCATTGGTAACATTTTCATTATCACCATGGTAATGGAAGCCATATGATGTAATTCTGCAGTTATTCAACAGGTAACAAAACACCATCATCCTCTCCTCATCTGTTATTTAGTATTGATTCAGTGTTTAACTGTTGACAGTCAGAATACACCCCCCACCCCCATAAAGACTGGAACGATACATACCTTTTTCTTTGATGCCTCTGACTTTTTGGACATGTTTCTTAGTTTTTTGTGCAAATGATTTAAAACCTGTAAGTTAGAAAATAAAGGTTATACATTTATTTTTGATGGTTCAATCTTTTCCACAATTGAAACATGACCCTTTGTGATGAGATGTTCTTACCTTTGCATAACAGAAGGAAATCAGCAGCAGAGGCAGCACATAACCAAACACGAACGTGCACACCACGTAGACTTTCTTCTGGTTGAGACCTGGCCACTCTTCCCAGCAGTAGGTGTGATTCTCCCTGGGGAAAATGTTCTGGTAGTACATGACGGGCGCTGCCATGGCCAGGGAGAGTATCCAAATCACCACCACTCCGATCAGCGCGTGCCTCGCCACCCGGATGGAGGAGGACTTTCTGGAGTGCACGATGGCAATGTACCGGTCCACGGACATGGCAGACAGCGTGAAGATGCTCACCAGCATGGACACGGTGAAGAAATAGTGGATGAACTTGCAGATGAACGCGCCCAGGACCCACGTCGGCATCATGTAGATGGTGGACTGGAAGGGGATGCAGAAGAGCAGGTAGGAGAGGTCCGCGATGCTCAGGTTGAGGATGAAGATGTTGGTGGTGCTCCGCGGTTTCCCCGGTTTGCTGCGCGCCAGCACGGTGATCACCATGGAGTTACCCAGCACGCCGAGCGTAAAGATGAGCCCGAACACCAGCAGCGTGATGAAATTATCCGTGCCGATGCCGAATAAAAGTTTCTCGTCGTCCTCCTCCGCCGTGCTGAGGTTCCACGACTCGTCCGAGAACCAAACAGACTCGGAGAGGTTCATTGTTCCCCTTGTTTTTAGATGAACTTTCAACGACAGCAGGTTGACCTATGGAAGGTCTGTGCGCCACGGCTGCTTCATGACACGCACTTTTCAGAGCAGGTGTCTATGGTCCGGTGCGCCTCCATCAGCGCCCCTGCACATGTTGTCTTTATCTCAAGCCCTCGAAAAGAAAACACCTTACTCCTCACTCCTCACTCCTCACACCAGTAAACAAATCTCTTGAGCTAGTTCGTTCTCCCGTCGTGCCGTCGTGCGTCACGGAGTTCTTCGCTCCTGGCGCGCACCTGATGAATCTGCGCACCCAACGCGCTGATCAACTCTCCACTCTGTCTGCGTTTGGACTTTCCCCCCCTCATATTATAGCAGGGGTTGGGCTGTGCCCATTCACGTCAGCATAGATTAGACCACCTCCCGAGAAATCCTCAGAGAGAAGAATATATAGCCTATATATATATATATATATGTACGTGGATATCTTTTATTCTGCACATTTCTCAACATATCCCTGTGATTTAAATGACGGAGGCCAGTCAGTGTCAGTATTTTCTTATTCATTTTGACACAGTATGGGTTGGGTGCAAATGTTATTGTGATTATCCGCCTGATGGACTGTCAGAATTGCTATATCTTCTTGCCATGATTTCACTATTTCAGTTTCATTATTTCTCACAATGGGGAAGTAAAATGGGGACAGTGTTGTGATTTCTGGGCTTTATTGTCTCCGTTATTTCAGTAATCATTGTGCGTGAATGACAATGAGGAGTTGAGTGAAAGTGCTGGTCACATACATCATGTCACATCACAAAATAAATGCATGAATTAAATGTATTATAAAGTCTAATCAGCTTTTCTTTGTCATCAGACAGCTCAGTACAAACAAACTGATTGAGTGAGTCTCTCTGAAATGTTAAAGTATCTGTTGTTCCTAATCACAGATTCCAGATATAGTCTTGTCTGAGATGAAGGTGAAGGTGAAACTGAGAAAATCATTGTTGTTACAAAGATGACAAACAATACTGCTACATCTCTAAGACACACTGTCAGGATAAGACTCTGAAGTGGAACAAAGGCCAAACTGTGCTCCCTGGAGATGTGCACATTCCCCTGGAGACAGAGGGGTGAAGTTGTAGAGCTGCTGATGAAAATTTCATGTGAGCCAGGTCACTATTATGGAAAACCCTCTGTGCTGCAGCTTATCATGCTGCGCTTCACTGAAAACACAATGTGAAATACTGACGTAATTGCATTTATCTCCATATTCATGCGATTCTGCCTCTGACAAAACTTGTGTTTAATCGATTAGCCAGACAATGTGGCCATACCAGATATGGTCAGTCAGTAGTGGTTCAGTTAATCGTCTATAATCTCTCAGGAAATATAGGAACCAGAAGGCTGCGTGTTGAGTCTCACCACGTTAAAGGTTCACTGTGTGTGTTTCATTTAAATTGTATGGATCGTTGTTTTCTCTACCATAGAATGGGCTCTTTATATCTTCTTCTTCTTCATCATCTTTCGGCTGCTCCCTATTCGGGGTCGCCACAGCGGATCATATGCCAATATATCCACTACCCCTCCTATTTGTGATCCGCATGTTTGTTTTGGCACAAGTTTTACGCCGGATGCCCTTCCTGACGCAACCCTCACCATTTATCCGGGCTTGGGACCGGCACTAGAACTACCCAAAAGAGTATCCCTAGTGGCTGGTTTGGGCTCTTTATATCTAAAGACTTTATATTTACATGGAGGGGGGTCCTCTCTGTGGAGGCTGCCATGTTTTTTACTGTCGTCCAAACTGGACAAACTAAAACCTTAATATGACAACTGAAGTTCACCACATGTTCTCCTTCATGTTGGGAAGGGGAGGGTGAGGTGAGGAGTATTCAGCTGCAACATGAAACTTCACCTCTAGTTGTCACTAAATTCTACACACTGCACCTTTAGAGAAAGTACAAAACAAATCCTGGATCTGGCTATTTATCTGCATGATAATGGGGGTCTTCCTTGGGTCATGCCCCATGAAATCTATTCAGTGGTTATTTGAGTTATCCTCCTGACAAACAGACAGATGAATGGCGACGCAAACAGTAAAATCCTCCTTATGTCCTGATAGCCATCAGGAAAAAAAGTGGTGTCTCGTAAGAATCCAATCTCTTTATTCAGACCAAATGAAATGATTGGCTGGCCTGTCCGCTTGTGCGCACCCTGTACGTGCTCTCACTGTCTTCAGTAGGGGAGACATACTCCACTCAAGCACAGACGATAGCCAGAAGTTAGCAAGAGAGTTATGGAAAAGTTATCTTAAAGCAGTTGTCAATCAGTGCGGGTGTTTTAGGGGCGTAGCATTGACGAGTGGGCCGATGGGCTGTGCTGGGATGTATTGGTTGCACAAGAGTAGCCTGAGCTTGCAAGCTTTTCCAGGATTAACAACCCTATAACTTTAAACAAATATTTAAATCTTTTTTGCAGTTGACTAACTAAAAGATTGGTTGTAATTTTCATGACATATTCATTACTGTCGACCTCTTTTAGCAATAGCATTATGAAACTCCTCTTGAATCTCCTGCAGACTTATCATGCATCAGCTACACAGTATTTAGAAACATATACTTACTTAGTAAATGGTAGATGGTTGTATTTATAAAGCGCTTTTCTAGTCTTGAAGACCACAAAAAGCGCTTTACACTACAGTTTGCCATTCACCCATTCACACACACATTCATACATACATACAGTGCATCTAGAGTAGCACTTTTATTGTTGTTGTTCTATGGGGCAATTCGGTAGTAGTAAGAAGTAATAGCAGTGATTTTGAGTCATGTATACCTGGGGGATGTAAGTCAGATGTCCATTCTCCGTTTAGCTCCAGGTTTGGTCTTCACCAGCTCCTCAGGGAAATATCAGGCTACATGCTGAAATTCTCCTAAGATTGTCAATAACGGTCAGCAGCCAGAGCAAAGTGGGTTTTCAGAACTTTTTTTTTCTCCTGATAGCAGCAGCTTGGTGGAGATGAGAATGAGCCGATGAGAACTGTGAGAGAATGAAAACAGTAAAATGTGGGCTGCATAAACTGACAATATTAATCATTGTACAGCTGAGGCAAGCTGCAGATTCTAGTGATGTCTCAGTTTAAGTTCATCATTTTGAGTTTGCCCTCTCACATTGTCACCCTGCTTTTCCATTATCATTTGATACATTGCTATAATATATCTGATGATTGTCGCTTTATGTTTCTATTGGGAACCCTTCTGTTTGGTGCTGTTAGCTTTATTTCCCTGTCGGTGCCTCTACATCTAATCGCCCACTTCTATTTCTGTCTTTCTTCTTCTTTTCCCCCTGAACAAACCTTTAATGTGAAATACAACACTCGCTGTATGCAAGAGTATTCCCCGAGGATACCTGACACAAAGGGTTTAGAACAGTAAATACAAAATGGATATAATGTTTTATTGTAGTGATTGAAAAAATGCACATTGAATATTTTTCTGTATCAGACTGCAATCACATGCTTGAATATGAGACACAGCCTCGCAGTTGAGATGTTTAAAAAGCACTGAGATATACTTGTTCAAGGGCTTTCCTATATAGTGGATAGCAATTACATTCATGTCCTTCCCTCTGTCCATTGTTTGCCTTTCTGCTCCTCCACTGCCATCTTTTCTATTGGTTTTTTGTCCCAGCTGAGGTAGAAAATGAAAAGGTGCAGGTTCATCTAGCTCTGTCAGTGGCGACGGCAACCGAGCTAAAAGGCACAGGTGAGGACGGGTTAGGGAGGAATAATTCAGTGGTGTCTGCTCCGGTCAGACATTCAGAGGCTGCCAGTGTAGCTCTGCACTCGCCATGCCTCCCAGCAAACAGAGAGCGAAACTGAGAAGAGGCAACACAACAGCCATCCGTCCATTTGGACGTGATTCGATTGTGTGTAACCCCTAAATGTTCAGCGTAATTGTTATTCAAAGGTCAGACACACAACAGCCAATACAAAATAGATAAGGTTATTCTTCAGTGATATGATCATATGAACATTTTCTGATTGACATTTTGTACAACATATATACACATACTAACTGTCTTTGTAATAGCTGTATTCCATATGTATATTTTTGAATATTTACCTTTTACCTATAATTTCTTTATCTCAGCGTCAGTTCTCAAGTTTTTTATGTTCAAATATATGTATATATATATATTCTAAAATAGAAATATATTTTTTTTTATATGATTATACTATATTATTTTACTATATTATAAAACTGTCTACACTCGCTATATTATATGAAAAAACTGTTATATTTAAAGGTAACCTGTAAAAATGTTTATTGCTAGTATTGCTATGAAGTAATGGGTTTTTTATTGTAATATATTACTAACTTGCACCAGCAGGAGCAGAGAAAGAGACAACAGATTGTGAGTGAGCACAAACGTGGACAATTATTTTTTAACCCAAAAAAGTCCAAACAAAGTTGACACAACAGTTTGTTTGAATATATTGGAACCATAAACTGGAAGTGATTTCGCTCTGCTGGATCAGGAGGCAAACTAATTCAGACGGTCTGATGCGCTTCTAGATTGTCTATTTCTATCAAATGGGTCATTACAGTTTGAATACTTCCTTTTCCAGGACATTCGCATAAATGTTCAAATGTTTGAATTTCGAATAAAAAGTGAAGCCTTAATAGACAATGCAGTTTAAAAAAAACTAAATGGCTTAGGTTGGATCCCAAAGACACACATAACACAATCTTAGTAGATAAAATGCAGATGTGTAATCTCCACAGGAATACTGCAACAATAATGGTCAAAGTCAATGTCAATGTATCCTGAGTGGGTTTGTCCCTGGTGCTGCATGTGTCAATCTCTAGAAACACTGAATCCTGAAAAGACATGACATCATCAGGGTTATTTCTTCTTCACGATAAAAGAGAAAAACACATTTATGCAAAAAAGTATTTTCGTCGCCTGAGTAGAACAAACATTATCTGTGAAACAGTGTTTTGATTTCCAATGTGGGCAATTTAAGTCTAAAAGCAGCAATAATCGTTTGTTTCAATGATAAGAGAAAAACACGGAGATAGAGCAGAACCAGCACCATATTAAAATCCCAGCAGCCTGTTTCTTGAACATTTTGAAGGATATCTTCCACTAGATGGAGCTATTTTATATTGAAGAGATGCATTTAAGAGGTTTTTTTTGTAAAATGAACTGTGATGGAAATGTATTGTTTACTTGATATCTATTTTAATGTTTATGCCAATGTTTATGCCAAATTACTGTCTGCTGCTGTCTCTGGCACTAATTTCCTCTCAGGC